GAAATTAACACTTTGTAGGATCATAGTAGCCACCACCTATTTTCTGTTCTTTAACTGCACTAAGCTAGCACATTGATTTGTCCCATAACCCAATAGTCAAAAAGGTGTTTTCAGGTGCCAGAATTACATTTCAGGCCATGATCCTCTTAATGCTTGTTTACCTAACAGGTTTGCATGTGCTTTTGAAGTTTTGTTTTTTATCCTGGGTCATTTTACCGGTCCAGTTTAGAGATGCTGTGCAGCGACAGAATGAACGTGTGGTACTCCCTGTTAGGAGGGAGTAGGGTTTGAAATGAGCAACTGGCTGCAGACAGAAATAAGATGCTCTTATACCAATTTTATTGTTGGCAAAACTGGTGGTGTGGAACTTTACAGTTTGGATTGTAGTTCAACAGATACTTCAGGCTGGCATGTACAGGCCAAAAGAAGCCATTCCAGATACTGATTCCTGTCCTTATTCTGATTTAACCCGTGGGATATCGTATGTGTTTGAGGTAGTTTTTGGCCAGACTTAACTGTTGATCTGGTTTTCCATAGCTTGGCAGAAGGAGTTAAGCTGGCTTATTGGCAGGAATGATGAGAAGGGGAAGGGCAGAACTCTTCTTAGCAGCAGCCAGGCATTAATCAGACAGCAGCCTTAGCCAGCTTTTTTTTGATTGTCCCTAAAAGGGGCATAAAGGACTATTCTTTAATTCATTAGAATAATCAGAACAACTAAGTGGTCAGACTGTGTCCTTGCATCACTGGGGGCAGGGGGAGGCATTTGGGCTTGATTTTTGTTGTGGGTGTTATTTGTGGTTTGGTGTGTTGTTTTTTTTTTTTTTTTTTATCTCTTGGTGTGTTTGGCAATTAGCAATTGCTCTTGTAACTTGGAGACACAGCTCCTGTCTGCCTGTAGTAAAGAGTGGGTGTACTTGGTAACAGTGAAAGCTGCAAATGTAAAATGCAGTGTTCCCTAAGAATGTTTGGATCTGTCTGCACAAAAAAAAAAAAAATACTGCATGTGTTCCCAGCAACACCAGCTTTGTTGAGACTGTTGGGTACTTTTCCCACCTAGCTTTCTCCATTCTCCTAGTGCTACCCAAGTTTGTAGCAGAGAGTGCACCCATAATTTGGAATCAAGTGTCTAATGGCACTTCTACCTCTGCAGTGTTTTGTTCCTCCTAAACAGAGTTGAGGAGAGGTGTTGGTGCTTTATTTGTGGTAGGAAAACATCCTTTATCTCTGCTACAACCTTTCTTCCTTATCACACCTGCATTCTCTTGGAGACTTTTTACTTTTTTCTTCTCTTGAAACTGCATTTAGGTTGTCTGTGAAGCTCTCCATTCTGGATGTTGAAGTAGAGCAATACTTCTCTGAAACTCAGCTGGAATTATTACCGAGCTGGAAGAGGTTGATCTAAGGTGTTTGTACCAGTTGTGCCTTTGTTACCCACCTCTTGTGCATGGACCTCCTATCATCATCTCTGAGGTTTGATGTTCTGTAGCACCAGTTAGTTGAAACAACAACAAAAAAGGTTATTTTCTAGATTGCTGTGGTTTTAATACAATTAGGTCCTCTGGGAGGAGAGAATTATATACGTCTTATTTCAGTCATTCGGAGTACTTTCCTTTGTCAGAGGTGGCTATTTTCAGGGAACAATTGTTACTGAAAGTAGTCATATACATTTAATCTCTAAGTAGATAAAATAATTTTTTTTTCCTGTGTTTGTTTTTTTTTTTTTTCCAGAGGTACTCTGTGCTAGTTTTGCTTTGCAGATCCAATCAGTTCTATTTAGACGCAGATTTCAGAGCCTAATTTTAAAGGTTTTAAAAACTCTGGCTCTGTATGTAGACTTTCATGAGTCAAATCAGCTTCATCTCGGTTGCAGAACTGGCATCAGCTTTGAAAGGTCAGAGAAATAATATTATTAGGGGTTGGATTTCATCCATCATACTCTTTGAATCTTGCCTTTTTATTTTACGGTGGCAGTAAAATGGGTAAGCAAATAGTGGGATAAATGTGATAAATGTGTTTACTGCCTAGCTGAATTTTCACCTTTGGTGTTCAGAAGGAAACTGAACAATTTTCAAATGCACTGTGCTCACTGCTTCCATGGCTGATCTGTATTTTTCAAAATGCAGCTGATTACTTCAGTGACTGGAAAAGGAACTCTGTCTAATTTTAAATTACAATGCTGTTTTCTTAAAATCTGAGCCTCTAGAAACTGCTGATCTTCACTCTGCTATAGGTAGAATGTCATATTCAAAAAGCTGACTATAGGGAAGACAAACTTGGAAGGAAAAATAAAAACCAAACAAGTTGTGAGACTTTTAAAATGTCCCATCAAATATAAATGCATGTTAAATTATATTGTTCAGTCTTGGACCTGTTTTCAGTGGGAATAGCAAAACATCAATCTACAATGAGGCAATCTCCTCTTCTGGAAAAGTATTATTCTCTCTGATTTTTGGGTATCTAGAAATAGCCCAGGACTAACTTGATTTCTGTCTCTTCTGTCTTGTCTAAAAGAGCATAAAGCTCACAGAAGTTACCTGTTAATAATTAAGGAATTTAAAAATATGCATTTTCTGTACCTACTGATTTTGTTTATAAACAAGCTGTTTGTATTCCTGTTTTCTTAAGAGTTCTTTGAAAATACAATGCATTGTAACCTGTCACTCTCTTTGGCTTGAATCTCTAAGCAAGGATAGAGACTTAGATTTATTTTTTTTTTTTTAGTTTCACCCCCTAATTGCATATGAATACCAGGGGATATTAACGGTTTTGTTTACATTTAAACTTTTAAATATTGATTGACTTTTCAGTACTTAACACTCTACCCCAACAAATCAGAAAACTAAATATTTTGCTCATTAGATGCGAGATGGAAGGATTTAAATTCTAAAAATGATATATTGTGTAATATTTCATTGTAATAATTCCTAACATAAAATATTAAAATATTATATACTTAAAACCCTGCTTAAATATTCTTTGTTTCTGTTTAGGTGTTTTTTTAGTGAAGAATATATGTACAAAACAAAACAAAAACAACACAGCACAACCCTCGGATTTTTGGGAAGAAAGCATGTGAGAGAGAATCCTGGCCACTCACCAGATTTATTCTGTATTTCACTTGAGGTTCTTGCAGAATTATTTGTTTGTTAAATTAATGGCATGCATATTCTTCCCCCCCCCCATTCAGCATCAAGCTCTTAGTAGAAAAATTAAATGGTGTAGTAGGAAGAATACCTGATTTCTCAAAGCATTTATTAGGGAGAATTATTTTACTTGCAAAGTTCATGGATGTTGGCTTGGCAGCAGGCACTGTTATAATCACAGAAAACAGATCAAGGAACTAGCTATAAACAAAGGTTAATGAGAAGATGCTGGAGGAGCTCAATGAGGAAACAATGGTTACAAGGGTGTTGCAGGAGTTGGTTGGTGTTAAATTAGTCAACATGTAGTCTTCATTAATCTAAACCAAGAAATGAACAGCATTTTAATTACATTTATGAACTGGCACAAAATTCAGAGCTGCTCTGAAGATAAATAATTAGAATATTTAGTATGTATGAGGAAACAATTCATTGAATTAAATTTAGTTTAATGCAGAGTTCTACTCAAAGGGAAATGAAGGGAGGAAAAATTTTAGGGAAATAGT